AAGTACAGGTCTTCACCTGATTCTGCTGTATCAAATGCACACTCAATAGCATCCAGACACTTAGAAGGGGAAACATCTGCCTCAGCTGTTCGTATCGCCTTAATGACAGCAAGAGCAGGTCCTCTAAGACATTCCATTAAGCGTCTGCGTTTTTCTTTGTCTGAGCAGTCGCTCTCTTCGACCATCAGGCGAGCTTGTTCCAGCCAATGCTCTAAAGTTTCTTCACCTGCCGGTGTAGGTAATGTGCCAGAGAACATTCGCAGTCGGCGATAACTACTGTTTTCTCCTGACGGCTTGTCCATCTTTGTCAGTACATCTCCCATAGCACGAATGATGGATTCTGGAGAGCTGGTTGGTGGAGCAGTATGGAACAGGGCTTCAAATGACTCGGGTGCATCTCCTTCAGTAGCTGAACTTCTGGCTGACATGATGACAGGCCAGCTGATGCCGGTGGAAACATGTTGGACATCAGTGGGAACTTTAGTGGGGTCAACCCGCTCTCTGCACTCACACAGCACCATTAGTCGATCCACTTTTTTGTTATACATACGGCCCCTTACTCTGACACGTCCTAGTGCCTTCACAGTTTCCATTGTTTCTTCAATCTGAGCAACTTCTGTGCCTTTGGGAACAAGTACCAGCACCACATGGTCTTCATCTAGGGATTCCCCCTGACACCACTCTCTGAGACCAGACTCCAGCTCCAAATGTACAGTTTTAACCTCCATAGTGTTAGTCTTTTTAATAACTAATGACACTACTTTGAACTATAAACTGAGTCTTCCAACCAGTTATTCTCAAAATGCTGTAATAAAGTTAGTTACAGTTTAATGCCATTAAACTTCACTAACAATGAGAACCAGACCACTCACTGTTGTTAAAAAAATTTAAACTATTTTCTTTTTCAAACACCTTAATATGTAGTAGACATACAAAAATATACCAACTTGCACTTTAACGGGGGTATTAGTAACTCAAATCAAAGAAATGACAGAGTTTTAACAAAAAAAAAAATCCCAGCGGTGCCTCCATTTTATGTAGCGCCCCTTTGCTGT